TATGACTCAATTGAATGGAGTGAGAGTATCGCGTTCTTGAACAGTTCAGAGCTGCTCAACTGCGTGAAAGGAGGACAGCAATTGAGAAAACGCATGACTTCCGTTATGCTCTTCTCTGCGAAGCTGTAGCATACGACAAAACAATTCTAGGTCCCACACAAAGCCAGACAGCGGTATAGGAGAGGTAGCACATTCCTTCTTGTTTTGGGTCCTTAAAGTTTCGATAAGTTTTGTTAAAAAGTGTTCCCATTTTCGCGTATGTTCACCAATGTCCCGTATGTAACGCCATTGGCCTGGCGATATTCTTACGCGATTTACGTATGAGCTCTCCAAATTTCCCATGGTCGTATTTAGGTCAAGTTTTCCTGAAAGTTTTCCATCTACTGTTTACCACAGACAGAAAGAGAAGGCACACACAAATTTCTTTTTTATGGTATTGACTTCAATTATTATTTAGCATTCAATCAATAACACTATAATACTCTAACACAGCAGTTATTACCAACTATTTCAGTCTTTGCTCTGAGAAAATAGATAAAACTATAATTTGGAACAAAACGAAAACCATCTTTTTAACAGTTTGCACGGAAGTTCCTACAAACGGCTTATTATTCAATAATAATTTATTATCTAAATATCTCGCTGACGCGAGCGTAATTAGCCCAAAACAATAAAAAACGACAAAAACAGTCGTTCTAATCGATTCCAATTAGTCTGAAATATATTTAGACAAGCTAACAGCCTTTCCGTCATATTTATTGATGGTCTGCTAATAAGTGCATTAGAGAGAGTACTTAGATAATTTATTATAATTATCGTTAATGCACAGTTTTGTCGCTGGCAGAATATAATCGAGTGTTAAAATACGGCCGTAATAAAATTGTTTATCGATTAGAAGAACCAACAATCATTTATAGGAAATATAAGTTCTAATAAACGACAGTTTGATTAAGGTTCATAAGAACCTAGTAATATAATATCACGGATAATTCGTAATGTCATACAACAGGGTGGTAAATCATATTTTAGTTTCAAACTTATTAATATTATTGAACACAACTGAAATAAATATTTCAGAAGGGGATAGATTAGATTAGACTTTTTACTAAACAAAAGTCAAAAATAGTGCAGTACATTTGATTATATTTTTGAGATCAGCCCGTTCCACTATGACCTTTTCACATTCATTTGATCCTCTTCTGATCTCTATATGATACATTCTCCAGTCCTATCCTCTGAAGAAGTCTAATAACTTGGAGAGTGAACCCTCTACATAACTGTTTCTCAATGGCTTATCAGTGCTTAATGCAACGAACCGCAAATTTTCCAAGCTATCGCACTGACAAATGTGTTTTTTGTCTGTCGTTTTTTCTATCTGTCGTTTTTTCTTCAGATTGCCAAAATCTGTAAATGACGTTGTCTGTCAGTCCTATCAGTTTTAGAGGTCTATTAAACCTAGAATACTCCCCTACTAGACACACTTGAACTTTGACAGTCTTCCTGTCTTGGCTTATCAGGTCTGCAACCTTTTGCAATTGTTTGGCCTGTGTATGAACCTTGGTTGGCCATTTCAGCTTCCTTTTCGTTGCCCTTGTGACCTACGTATTCTAAGGTAACATTAATACTTCTGTGTATTTAGAGCATGCACACATAGAAGAGTAAGTGCATAGCCCCACATGAGGCGACAAGCGGAGGGGAGCGTAGAGCGAAGAAGATCGCGAAGCGTTTAAATGCATTGAAGTAAATCGAAGTTGATTGATCAGAACTCATACGATATAAAGTTCATGACTAAGAGGCTCTATCAAGAATACAACAAATGGGGACTTCAGGTTAGTCTAAAGTAGACGGAATACTTAGCTGTCGATACCAACGTTTGTTTTGAAGTGTTCATGAATGATAACGTCCAGATTCAACAAGTAGACAAATTTAAAAACCTGGGTGCTACTATCAACAACGAGGGTTTGGGCAAAGAAGAAATACAAACCCGAATTCAGAAGAGCAAACAAGTTATTGGATGTCTTAATAGCCTCTGGTGAGACCGAAACTTGTCTGTAACAACTAAAAAGAGACTTGGAAGAACATTGATTGGTGGAGTCAGTTCTTTGCTATGGTGCAGACTCTGAGTGCAGACGCGAAGCGCAAAATTCAAGTTGTTGAAATGGACTACCTTAGAAGAAGCGCAGGTATATCTAGGATGGAAAAAAAGACAAACATCGAGGTCAGGCGTATTATGAATGCATCGGAGGAAACAGTACTAGATCGAATCGAAAAATCCAGCTTAAAGTGGTTTGAACATGTTCTGCGTATGCCCGAGAACAGGTGGCCAAAAAACATTTTCAATGGGCTCCCCAGGGCAGAAGAAAGAGAGGTATACCTAGAAAATCCTGGAACGGAACGGTTGCGGAAGCAATGGAAGCTCGTAACCTAGAAGCTGATGACGCTCTAAATCGAGATGTCGTATGGTAACGGGAAAGCATAAGGCTGTAGTTGGAAATGAGTATTAAATACTTAAACCAAATCCCGTTTATATATACAGGGTGCTACAAATTCGAGGTACGAGCATTGGTATCTCGGAAACCGTAATAGATACGAAGATGGTTAAATTGTGGCAAAGTTGCGCCTTTGTTGTGAAAAAAGTTCTGAAAATTTCATGGATTGCTGAGTTTTTTGGAAAAACAGATTTTTTGGAAAATCAATCTTATTTTTTCCTGTCGTTACTTTTTAGAAAATCAAAAAACTAATTACACATTCTCTTAGCCACTTTATTAGGGCTATCTGATAGTAATTTTAGATTTTCAAATTAGCTGATAATTTGTGAGATACAGAGACCAGCTAAATTTTTTTAAATACGGACCTGCATTTTTTATTTCAGGTTTTGAAAGAACTCGGTCTCCTGAGTATAATGGTATGCCACCCTTGATACTTTTTTTGTTTTGAGTACCTTAACAACAACAAAACTAGTTAATTATTATTTAAAATAATTCCAAGTACGACACTTCATCGCAACAATATTGATCAGCCTTAATTAACATTGAATAAGAAAAATCGAGCCAACCCAAAGATTCAAATAAATAATATCCAGGTCAGCAATTTAAAGATATTATTTTTAACTTTTTTATTGTGAATTTGGAATCTCAGTGTACGATCTAATAATATTCCATGGCCACTGTATCTCACAAATTATCAGCTAATTTGAAATCCTAAAAATACTATCAGATAGCCCTAATAAAGTGGCAATGAGAATGTGTAATTAGTTTTTTGATTTCCTAAAAAGTAATGCCAGGAAAAAATAAAAATGATTTTCAAAAAAATCCGTTTTTCCAAAAAACTAAGCAATCCTTGAAATTTTAAAAAAAAATTAATGGCATCTTGGTGAACATCCTAAAGCGCAACTTTGCCCTAATTTAACCATATTCGTATCTATTACGGTTACCGAGATACCAATGCTCGTACCTCGAATTTGTAGCACCCTGTATATATAAGTAAATCGAAGTGGTCCCACATACAGGCCAAGCGTATTGCAGATTGTCGCGTATTTTACTATTGTACTCTACGCTATCTCTACCCCTCCAGCTATGTTGGGCCACGGCCTAAGAAATATATGGTACAGTAGAAATTAATACATTACAGGTAAGAGATCGACACAAAACTCGACTCCGTAATAAACATTTTCCAGCAGGTTTTTATGACCTTCCAAATACCATGATCATAGTTACTCAAAAAATGTTGCTTGTTATTCCCACAGCCCACAGCTTACATCTCTCATCATATTACTTACTCTTAGGGGAATATTTTTATTATAACATAGGTATCTTGAACAGAAGTATAAAAAAGACTCAAAGTCTCGGTCTCAACGTTTATATTAAGTTAAACAGTGACACGTGTTTCGCTCACACGAGCAATGAGTCTTTTTTATACTTCTTTTTAATTTAAACCAGGTCTCTTTGGGAAGAATGGACGCCTTCTTTAAATTAGGTATCTTGAGTTGATGATGGTATCTCGGAAACGAAAAGTCAGATTGAGAATCTAATAACATTAACTTGTAGGACCGGAAAACTAGCAATGAGAATGTAAAATGTGTATTGTCATATCTTTTCAAGTAGAGTTTTACGCTTTAAGCGATAGATACGTTCTGGTCAGGGTCGCTTTTATGTATGGAAACGGTCGATTATTAGGTAAAATATAGGAGGTACCGCAAAAAGTTAAATATAAAAGTTATGGTATTTTTTAATATCTATTAGCGAGTAATAAATTTAATAATACAGGGTCGGTGATAAAGTCGTGGCACATCAAAGTTTCACTTTTTTAAATAAAACCCCCTGTATATTATTGCACATTTCAATTCTTCCTTCAATTCTAAGCAAAAATCGAAATATACACAATGTACCTCAAACCAACCGTTTCCGATTTATTGAGTTTTGAAAATATCACTTTTTTCACAGTTTTGCCGGAATGGCATCATTATATGAAACTGAACATTTCGAAATAAATTAAATCAAATGGTTTAAGTGATATGTTCAAAAGGCAATAACTCGGAAACGGTTGGTTTGAGATACATTGTGTATATTTCGATTTTTGCTTAGAATTGAAGGAAGAATTGAAATGTGCAATTATATACAGGGGGTTTTATTTAAAAAAAGTGAAACTTTGATGTGCCACGACTTTATGACCAACCCTGTATACATAAATTTATTACTCGCCAATAGACATTTAAAAATCCTATAATTTTTATATTTAACTTTTTGAGGTACCTTGTATGTCGACCGTTTCCATACATAACAGCGACTCTGTATATGTTGTTTGTGATCGAACTTACGACCTTTTACAAATAATAAAATAGGATAAACCGATTTTTTGGGTTGGGTAGAACATTATTTACTTCAAGACTAGACTTCAAATTGTAGTTAAAAAAAATATATTTTTTTTGTTCGTAATTTTGCTGTTTTTACAGGGATATTCTAAAGAATTACCTTTAATATTGTTTTTTTTTTCAATTACAGTTACTTTCCTGGAGCAAAAAAGTTGGCGAAGAAACTCTCAACAGTCTAACTTTGCTTCTTCGTGCTTCAGGGGATTCCGTTGCTGTGAAAGGAGTCGCCAATAGCTTTGATGAATTTTTCTTCAGTGCTTGGGTAAGTTTCCTGTAAACAAAATAACAATTTAGATTGTATTAAAAAATCTAGTTTTTTGCGTTATTGTATTATATTGTTTTATCCTTCAGATAATTTGGAAATAACAAAATATAACTATTATACGACTAACATGCAAGAACATTTTTTGGTTTCAACATTCAGCATTCATTAACAGGGAAAAATATATAGAGAAAATTAATAAAAGTTGGGCTGCACGTCATGGCAGATCTAAACTATCTATTAAATTACGTCTAAGCTATTACTAAATTAAATTTCTGATAAATAAAAACTCGATTGAAAGTTAGAGCACACTTAGCACTTTTTTCTTTTTCTTATAATCTTTATATCTTGGTTACTATTATGAGATGTCATGAGTATGTTCTTTGCAAAATATTTGTCATTGTAAATTTTAGTTTTTATTATTAGAGTTTTCTCTAATAACTAGCAGTGTTAAACTAACTGAACTGCGTGTTGTTTAGTTTAACACTGATATTTTCCTGGCAATAAAATGCCAAAGTCAGAATCAGCATGTTGTCCCAATATCTACTCAACAGAAAAGAGACCACGACGAACCCCTTTTGCTGTTAACCTACGTTAGAGAGATAAAAATGTATATTGTTGCTTAAATTTTGTGACTTTTATTGAAAATACATATAAATATACAAGTGTGTTTCAGCTGCGCTCAATATTAGTTTCCGAACCCTTGTCGAGGGTTCAGAACACTTTTCAAACTAAAAAAATATCCGCTTCAACATTGCAACGTGCATTCGTCAAATATTTTGATGGCGTGCATGTCCAATTTATTGGGTTTCCTATAGGATATATACATATAGTTTGTCTAACGAGATGATGTAGAATGTTAATTGTTTAGGAGGGGGGTTAATCACCGCGACCTTACAGATCTATTGTGTATTCCCCTTTTTGAGCTATAACGAGTTATACTCATCATACAGTCTCAGGGCTTTGACAAATCTCGTGTTTCCCCATTTTTCCCGCAGAATCTGAATTCGCCTTGTTTCTCAGCTTCATTCTACTGAGGTGTTCGATGAGGAGACAGTGTCCTGTTAGAAACCCCGTGACAGCCCGAAAATTGTTTTTACTTAAATCAAGGAAAATTTTGGATATTTTTCGGTCGTAAGTTCTGAGGAACTTTTTCGAGTGTTTTAGACCGTTGGAGGATTGCCATTCCAGGTTACGGATGGAGTCTTCCAGGTTCTTCAGTTCCGCTTAGGAGTAGGGCTTACCCAGTAGGAGGATTTTATTTTCTTTGCCTAATTTGTTAATCTTTCCTAGGCATTCTTTGATCGAGAGGATAAAAGGTTGGTCTGTCATTTTAGTTCACAGGGGGGAAAATTGATTTTTTTTTCATTTTCTGGATATTGTTTAAAAATCCTCCCTAGATTCGTTGGACAGACTTTATTAGTAATTTTATTAATACTACACAAATTACTAAAATTAATACAGTAGCCCTCTTTGCGTAGAATGTCATCTACAATTGGGGATGCAGTAATATACCATTTTAGACTATTTACACTTTTTCCTGTTGAACTTCTGGTTTCGAGTATTAAGAGAAACGCTAAAATGAAAACAATATCTTACTTCATCAATAAGTCTCTATCTCCATATATTTTTTAAATATTCTCCTGAATTTGTTACTAACACCCTATCTATCTACTCATCGTATGAATAAAATTGAGTAAATAAAAACATAAAACTGTATTAAATGTGTGAAATGTGTTTCTAAGAATTTAATTAAAACCATTTCTAGTAGTAACGGCCTTGATATTATATTAATAAATTTGAAGGCCTGCGACGGCAATTTCCTGAAAGAATAATTTTCACTGTTAAATAAGGAGTTTATGAAGACTATTAAAATATAATTGAAATTAAACTAGATAGGTACATGCGAATATTCGTGGATACCAGACATAAATATTAGTTTCCTCTCACTTTCTTTTTGATATTTAAATGAGATTACAAATGACATACCTATTCAATAATTAATTTGAAAGATTTTGAATCACACTGGTTTAAGGCGAAAGGCCCAGCTGCGTCAAAACACCGGTTCCCAATATATCACAGAAGTTAAGCGACGTTAGACGATTAGACGATGCGAGTGGATGGACGGGTTCGGATTCCGCATAAAAACAAAGTGGGCCTCTTTCAGATTAGCTTTAGCAGCACAAAGGAGACGTTAACTCAAAATATTGTACTTTACATTGTTTTATATATAAAGTTTCAATAATAACATGTCAATATATAGGCTTATTTTGAGTAAGGTGAAACCTAGAATGATGAAACCTAGAATGTTCTACTATGAACTCGCCTGTCTCTACCCTGGTGAATTTCTCCACCATTCTAGACATTTGTTGGCCACCCATCGGTCTATGGTAATTCTTGTGACTGTTTTTGCAACGCCGCAGAAGGGTTCCTATATGAATAGCATTGATGAGCCTTGTTTAACTATTTCATCTGCCTTTACGTTAGCCTTGTGACCTTATATGAATATAATACTTCTATATATAACACATTTTTTGTGCTTTATTTTAATTGAATAGCCAGCTATTCTCTAAAGTTATGAATCAATATTATTTATGTTTCCAAATTTGGCTTTTGTTCTACGTAAATTAATGTAGAAAAAAGATTTTATTGCTTTTGGGCAACAACGATCTAATTTACCCTCCCACCTGCGCCTTTACAATAACAATTCGCTTATTGTTAGAGTCGAATTTGTAGAAACTGCCCACCAGGGCGTGTGGCGGTCGCAAAAATCCTTTTTATTGCTGATTGCGTTCGCGTCACGGCCGATTCTGCCCACAGATGCAGGGCCGCACTCTCATAAAACGTATCATAGTAAAGCGAAGGTTTTATTATGTCATAAAAGTGTTGCAAAATACACGTTCCGTCTTTCAGGTGGTTCAGCAAAGCTCGCAATAAAACCAGGAGAATACGGGGTGTACTGTGACGGAATTTTACGATGTCATTTAAACCAGAAACTGCGTTGAAATCACCTTAAAGTCCCTGTTATAATAAAATAACATTAAATTAATATCTAACATCTAAATATTACATTTATAACGTTTAACAGTTTTGTAGAGGTTCGGGATGGTTGGTTGGTCGAAGTGGCGAGTGCAACCGCTTGTCGGGCTCTAATTAGCAGAATTGCCGTTTTGATACTCTGAATCTCTGAAAGAATCTCTAGGGATGGGAAAGTTGGATTGTTAAGTGTTTATAACAATTCGGTGCCATTGAGGTAACGTGTGACTCACGTTATACTCTTTCCGGCAACATTTTCAAAAATTACGAAGCTGTAACCTCCGAGGAAACGATTCTAGGTCCTACACAAAGCCGGACAGCGGTAAGGGAAATGCAATGTCCCTTCCTTCGGGCCCTTGAAGCTTCGGCTCACCAATTGGCCAGTGTCCCGTATATAACGTCGTTAGCCTGACGATATTCTTGCGCGACATAATTATGAGCTCTACCGATTTTTTAAGGTCGTATTTGGGCCAAGTTTTCCTGTGTGTCCTACTGGTGCTTAAATATTTCCATCAACTGTTCCCCATAGACAGAAAATGGAGCTCAATTTTATCTAAGGTGAGGGGTGTAAAAACTTCTTCTGATGTATCTAGCTGTATTTCCTGTGGCCTGGAACCTGGATCTCAAAGCAGGCCCTCCAAATGACAAGTATCTCTGCCTGGAAAACACTTGATCTGTCCGGAAGCCGATAAGACCTTACGATGTTAAGGCCCTTCGAGAAAACCCCTCAACTACGTTTGAACCCATCTTGGACCCATCAGTATATAGTTCTAGAAAGTTTCTGGCAAGCTATATGCTAGGTGTCATACTATAATGGTCCAGCAATAATATCCTTCGTTAATCTTTCAAGAATACTGCTGTGGCCATAGGGTTTCTCCGTCCAACAACCAGTTTCTCTGAGCCTGATTGAACTAGTAGCGGGTAGATTTTTAATATGAAGATCGATGAGGAGGTAGAAAAGCACGTTTAGAGGATCTGTGAGCGTCGATCTTAATGCTCCTGTAATGCATGCACTCCTCTGACTCCTCTGTACATTTCCAAGTTTTTTTCCAAAGATTCTATATGTGAGGATTGGTCGCACTATGGCAGTGCTTTCCATTTAGCCATAGTCCCCATTTGTTAGCATTTTTTGTGCATGTAGAGAGCAAACTAGGCTTTTTTATTCTTTCTTCTACGTTGGTTCGTCAGTTTAGTTTCGGATCAAGGGATTGTACCTAAATATTTGGCCTTGGATGATAATGTCAGCATAATACAGTTGAGTTTTGGTAGCGCTAAAACAGGCACCTTTTGGTGGTAAATAACTATACAGTATGTTCCCGGATTGTCGTTACAAGAATAAAAACTTTTATTATTGACATTTTGAGAAAAATGCATTCTTCATAAAAAATTTTGCTTGTTCAAAAATGGATAATCCCGTTTATACTTTTCCAAATTTGCATACCGATCTTAAGCCACCTAATAATTTTTTTTTGTATTTTATCGTTGGGAATGGAAATATGGGAGGGGGTTAATCACAGCGACCTTACATATTTTATCGTTGAAATAGGGGTATGTTATAATAATATCTCGAATATCTGCGAAACTGTTAAAAATAATGATGACTTTATGTACAAAAATGTTCATTTTTACTATTGAATAATTTTGACATTCAATAGCTTTGAAGCAGAAATAACACCTACCAAATTATACTGATAATATTTTGTCTATAAATTCTATTTCTTGTAGAAACAAATCGAGAAATCCATCGACCTAACTGAAGAATGCAAAAACATCAAAGACACAAAAGGGCTACACCTAAAAGACATAGCCGCCAACCTCAACCTCCAAATGAAAAACTTCAGGGAAAAACTGGAAGAAACTAGAGAACGCATCGAGGACAGTTCCAGATGCTTCTTGCTCCTGGAAAGCTGTCACGACATTCTCGAAGACGACAATAAGGAACAGGAAGAATTTTTTAAATTAGCCCTGCGAAGTGGTAACGAAAAGTTGCTCCAGTTGTGTAAAGTAAGTTCATTAAGTTCAAAAATCATTTGAATAAACTTTTAAAATATCATTTTAACAGAGTGCGAAGAAGCCAAACAATGTAAAGCAGCAAAATAAACCTCCTGACAAAAATTCGGATCCCGATAAGAGTCCTCATTACAACAGTAAGGAGATAAGTGCCTCGAGTACACCGCAGAAGTCACAGAGTAGTACGCAAATAAGAAGAAGGTCTGTGAGTTCTTTGGCGTACATTTATCACTGCAGGTGAGTATTATTAATGACAACAGAGTCGACATTTATTTAAATTAAAAATTAGTTGGTTGGTTACCCCAACGTGCGTCTAGAATAAAACAATTATTATAAACATACAAATTGCTTTTATAAAGAAGGTTTGCAATTTTCAACATCAGTGTTATAATTATTTCAGTCATCATGCTGCCGGTGAGATGTGCAACTGTTGCGAGAGTGATACGGAAAATAACAGTATTTCTTATAAATTGAAGAAGAAATACATCCAAATGCAAACTTGTGGATGTCAGTGTAATGGAAAAGACACCTTGGAAAGGAAAACGAGTAGTACATTAGTTGGTAAGACTGATTTTTTATAAATCTAAATAAATAAAACAAAGTAGGGTTAGTTACATTTATAACTCAAGAATTGTTGGACCGATTTTAATAGTCTCTGTTTGTTGGATTCGTCTCCACCTCGAATAGCAGAATAACTATTAAAATATCAAAAAAATACACAGACAATTAATTTTTAAATAAATTAGGTTTGGAACTCCGCTGTCTTCCGCAATTACCAGCTCACTTCGCGCACGCTTATAGTTTATTTGTAATAGTTATTATCCACTGCAAATCAGTGACACACTAGACATTATAGAATAGAAATTCAACGGAAAATAGTGGGGAAATAGCATATTAAAATCTACAAAGATGAGAATATAGATTGGTCTCAGCCATCATCTATGCCCAAGCAGCATTTGGACGTCGGGACAACGTTGTGTCACGCGACCAAACGTCGGGGCGCAACGTCGGCACAACCTCGTGCCAACCCTAGTCTGCACTAGTTTGGAGAACAATTTTTGGGTCGAAACGACGTTGGATACCGACGTTGGCTAGAAGCCTAATTTAGTACAAACTGCAACGTTGTTTAAAATTCTAATTCACAGAAATACAAAACTAATATGGCGTCTAAGTCGCGTTTTATCCTAAATTGGGATAATTATAGTAAAAATATTATTTTTATGATTTAGTTAGAGACATATGTCAGATGGCAGTGAAGGAAAACAAAACAAAAGTATTTAAGTGTGGAGGATGTTTGAAGATCATAATTATTGAAACACTTTAACCGACTCTGTAACTCGTTACCCAAGGCAAAAAAGTTAAACGCAAACAACTTTATTGATAAATGTATTGTTTCTACTTGAAACTGAAAAATACTAATGGGCCTTAAAATTAAAGAAGTTTTAAAAATTTTCTTGAATTTTTTTTAGTAAAATGAGAATAATTTATTCGCAGTCGAATAAATTCTTTCCGCGTGTTTTTTAGGGTCAAATATTTCAAGTTAATGTATTCAAAAAGCAGGAATTGCTATTTTAGGAACGAAACATTTTCTTATTTAACAACATGGCGGCTTTCACTTTGTTGTTTTGGAGATTAAGATGAAGTAGTTCGAGTACTAGCATACTGGACTAATAAAGTCGCAGTTCGGCCTTAACAGGTAGTATACTAGTCGCAAGATTGCCTAAATTAGTCATCCCAGAGTCTAGCTTGTGCCGCCCTCTATAATCTAAATAAATGAGGGAGTGGATAAACATCGGTAACATATGTCGATGTATATTTAAATTTAGTTTTATATGTACCTTTCTTATGTCCCATTTTAATGAAGTTTTTTTTTTATAAAAACAAAAACAGCACTGAACTGTCTGACTGAACAGAACAATGAAGTGAAAATTTAAGATTTAAGGTTATGGTTCAATACAGTTGCAAAAAGGTAGTGACTCGACGTCCTACCAACGTAAGAATAAGGAAATCTAAACAACGTTGGAATTAGTAAAACAGACGACATTTGCATAACGTTGGAATAGGTCCTGAAACTGACGTCGGAAAACTCTATATTGTCCAACATTGTAACTACGTTGTCCGAATCACCTAAAGATCACTTAAGCAAAAAAGGTTACAAGACAACGTTTATTCGACGTCGCAGAAGTTTCTACTTTGCTGTAGTACTAGTCCAAGGTCGGCACAACGTTATAAAACGTTTAAATTTATATTAATACCTAAGGTAGGGAGCTAACTATTTTTTGTAACTAATCCAACGTTGTGTTTAATAAACATATGGTCGCAAGTCGTGAAAATGCTACTGGGGTGGCCATCATCAATCAAAACTTGACAAAAAAAAACTCTACCTTTACTTCACTTCTTCCAATGTGATAAGTAATGAAAACAAATTTGTTATTATATTTGAGTTTTGACAAAAAAAAACACGTCTCTAGTTACAGTCTTATTGTTCCATGTCAGCCATTCATCGGTTAATCGAGCATTAAAAGATTGATCTGATGGTATTCTATGAGCTAAGGAGATCATTTGAAGACTATTTGAGCTGAAAGTTGGTTAGCCAAGATTGTAATGATGAATAATTATGAATACTTTAGTATTTATAATAAGTTTAAAACAAAATAAAATTTAAAGGTACTAATAATATTAAACCACTAAAACTACAAAAAAGCTACGACAGATATTCGACTGATATAATTATTGTGAAGTAAACTAAAAAATAAAGACGGCGCTGTTTACACTTTTTACTGGGTTGGGTATCACCCCAATGGGTAATTATTTCGTCAAAAGTTAATCTTTTGGTCACTTTGAATGTACATCTACTTTGGATAAATTCTCCTAGACGATCAATAAAAATGATAAATACAAATGAACCATAAGTGTCAAATTTATTCTACCAAAACAAAAATCAGTCAAATTTCGGTTTCTGCCGTAACGTTGTTTTGATTGTCAGCTAATAAACTGTTTTATTTACATACCTTTCCAATCTTCTGAACAATTTTTATTTTTAAATTTTAGTATCAGTAAATCACTTAAAACAATACTTCTCATTTGCTTAGGCATCAAAGAAGAAAGGGAGAGTGTAGAAAACCTTTTAGAAAAAATCGAAACTATAGACAACTGTAGACGATGTGACAGTGGGTTTTCAACTACAGACAACTCGGTTGGAGAAGACAGTTCGAATTCCTACGTAAATCCTAAGAAGAAGCTTCAAAGAACATGTTCGTGTCAGTATTATAGAGAAGGATGTACTACTTGTTCGGGTACGAGTTCTAGTACAAGCGGTGGTTCCAATCAGGATAACATAGACAACCAACAAGACAGTATTATTGAAGAATGTAGCGATGGATTCAATAAAAGGTAAATAAACACATGCAGATTCATTCTTTGATTGATGTATATTAATATAATATAAACTAATTTATAATATTGTATATTAACGTACAGTAGGTATCTTCTAAGACCCGCAAAAAAGAAAATGTATTTCTTTTTAGTAGTAGCAGTGATGACATTGAAGACGACCATTACGCTGAAGAAAGAAGAAAAGTACCTCCAGTATCCGCTAATAACCATTTATACTGCCACGCTTCCACCTTTGACTTGCCATCCGATGCCTTATACAATAACATGGATGCAAAAACACAAAAGTATATACCCTAAAACATATAAAGCACAAAAACTCTTAACAATTTTATTTTCCACAGGACTTTAAAATTCATAATCAAAGAGATGATAGAAACTGAAAGAGACTACGTAAAGTCCCTGGACTATATCATCGTGAACTACGTTCCAGAGTTACAAAGGGAGGACATACCTCAAGCACTGAGAGGTCAGAGAAATACCGTTTTTGGAAATGTAGAAAAAATCTACGAGTTTCATCGTCACCATTTTCTTGGAGAGCTTGAAGAATGCGAAAACAATCCTTTACAAGCTGGACAAATATTCCTGAAATATGACAAGAGGTTCTATTTGTACGCCCTGTATAATAAGAACAAGCCTAAATCTGATTCTCTAATGTCCGAGTATGGAACAACATTCTTTAAGGTAATTTACCTAAATTGAATTCTTAACGCACGTTTATAGCGTTTTTATGATATCCACTGGAAATCGGTGACATACTAGAGGTTATACAGGGTGGTCGGAATTGTATTTGGGAAACTTCGGTAGTATATTCTACAGATAAAAATAAGTAAAAAAGTTCGTATAAATTTATGTCCTAAAATGCTTCATTTCGGGGATACAAGCTGTAGAAATTTCATGTTTATTTCGATTTCTTCCAAATAATTTCTGAGCTAACGCCAATATTTGGATAAAATTGGGTCTAGGCGTTTTTTGTCATGGGAAATTCTATTTCGATGTAGGTATGTCCCCTACTTGTAGAGGGCGCCATCTACATACTTTTTCGCTGTTTTAAAGAGTAACAATTTTTCGTCCTTACCCGTATTATAATACTACTGAGTGAAAAATATACATTTTCTTCATTTTTCAAGTAAAAAAAATGGCAAAAATAGCTACGAGTGATGGTTAGGATAGATGGGGAATCAACCCCAAGATATTTGGAATCGAAATAGTCAATATGTGTCATAATTGAAAAAAAATAATATATTATTATTTATGTTGACTGACTATTAGTCTAAAATAATATATTTGAAATGTGTTTGTACCATAGATTTTGTCTATCATCATATTTTTTTGTAGAAAAATTCATGAGTAACTTATAAATATATAAAGTTCCCAAATTTATCATTTTTTAGACAAATAACTAGTCAACATGTTTTTTGTCAATAGTGACATGTATTGACTATAGTCATTCCAAATATCTTGAAAACGGTTGCTCTTAGCGATTTTTACCAAGAGACGTTTTTTACGTACAAAATTACGGAAATGTATATTTTTTCACTCGGTAGTTTTATACAGGTACGGACGAAAAGTTATTACTCTTCAAATCAGTTAAGAAACATGTAGGTGGTGCCTCCTCCAAGTAGGAGTCATATTGACTTCAAAATAAAATTTCTCATATCAAAAAACAGATAATACAATTCGGACCACCCTGTAGAATAGATATTCAACTGAATATAGTGGGAAAATCGCATATTCAAATCTAGAAGGATATTGAAATTTATAGAAAATACTTGAATCGAAATGTAAACGAAAATATAGAAAACAAATGACAATAACTGTCAAATTGACTCGTTACAATAATTCTAGATCATACAGACCACAAGCATAACAAAAAAACTTTTAATTTAACAGTATTTTTAAATTTATTAATTAATATTAATTGTTACCCAACACGAAGTTAGCTCGTTCAGTTAGTTTCATAATAAAATGGTCTTTTTAAAGTAAATAATGTGAAATATACCTTATATTGCATAGTGTATACAGCATCAGTCAAAACCAAATGTATTTTTCCCTATTATTTAAACAGGCACGCCCCGTATTTTATGACATAATTGAACGTTTTAGCTATGTTTTGATAAATAATTTTTATATCGAAAATCGAGATATAAGTATTTTTTGCTTTTACAAATCTTTTTACGAGTCAATCACTGTTTGGCATTTTACGAAAAAAGATTTTTTAGATTTCTGTTTCAGCGGTAGTAGTCAAGATACAAAATATTGCAGAACCGTATCTTGTTTTAATTTTAATTTTTATTGTATTTTTAGAGCAAACAAATAGAACTGGAAGACAAGATGGACTTAGCCAGTTACCTGCTTAAACCTGTCCAGCGTATGGGAAAGTACGCTCTTCTATTACAACAAATGATGAAAGCCTGTCCTGCATCACCAGACAGAGCCATGCAAGAACTTGAAGACTTAAAACAAGCCGAAGAAATGGTTAGATTTCAACTGAGACACGGTAACGATTTGCTTGCGATGGACAGTATAAGGGAATGTGACGTAAGTATATTTATTTTTGATTTTATCAAAATTAATTAATTAATATTGTTGGTGGTTTGTAGGTAAATTTAAAAGAACAAGGAAGACTGTTGAGACAGAATGAGTTTTTGGTTTGGGAGGGCAGAACAGGAAAGAAATCCTTGAGACAAGTGTTTCTTTTCGAGGAACTGATACTGTTTAGTAAGGCTAGGCGATTTCCAGACAGAAAGGTAAGTTCTAATTACTCCACTTTTGGAAATTAAAACCATTATATCCTTATTAATATTGTATTGACTTGAATTTATTGATAAATATATAAAAATTTGAAAATAAAAACCAATTGGCTATCTCTAAAGGGCCGATTAGACGATTAGACTCTCAGATAATAAGAAAATAAAACCAGAATTGTAAAAAATGTATATACCTATGTGGCGGATTCATCTCTCCAAAAAAATCCTTTATGGGTATTTCGCCACTGCACTGCAAGAAAATCTACAAAATAAAAGAGTTATTTTTTGTAAACACTTCTGCGTTAAACCTAAACGGACACTGCTTGTCAGAAGTTATGTTTACAGTTATACAAATTTGCCTAACAAACAAAAAATGCTTAACGTTTCGGAAAGTTTGAATTTGATTAAAAAATGAATAACATTTTCATTTTAACAGAACGTCAACGGTTTTTTGTAGACGTATCTGTTTTAAAAAAGTAAAGTGTTCTCGAATAGTTGAATTTAAATATTTTAAATAGTTTTTTTCCTTATTCTTTGTATTTTTTTTCCTTCTGACGACGGATGTCTGTTTTCTTTGTTAGGCAAATTTGTATAACTGTAAACATAACTTCTGACAAGCAGTGTCCGTTTAGGTTTAACGCAGAAGTGTTTACAAAAAATAACTATTTTATTTTGTAGACTTTCTTGCATTGCAGTGGCGAAATACCCATAAAGGATTTTTTTGGGGAAAATAAAACCAGTTTGGGCAAACCAAACTGGCACCAATAAATCGTAAAGTGTAAACAGAAATAGTTATAGCCCGGTCGCCTAATTAAATCTCGCGAGTTTTTTGGAAGAACCTTTTTTTATGATTGATATATTTATTTTTTACGTGGTAATGATTAAAAATTAAGCAGGGAAATCACTTGAAATTTTTGTTGTTTGAATCACTTGAGTTTGGTCGCCATTTTGTAATTTAGTAACGATATGTTTGAAAATGCTAAAATATCCACAACTGTAAATAAATTATTAATAATTAAAGCGTAAATAGGCAGTAAGTAAAATTTAAAATTAAAATTATTATTTTATACTAAGGGCGATTTTAGTTTAAAGTATTTTGTGATTAATATTAAAAAAGCCGTTGTTAAAAATAAAATTTTCAAAATCTTTTACTTAAGGCAATAAAATCTACATCTAAATATGTATATAAAATTTAAGATTACATTGTACTATTAAATAAAGAAACGTTAAAAAGAAACAGCAAGTAAAAAACTAATAAAGAAATAACCTAATATAGAAATATCATGTGAATTCCAAACAAGGCTTAAACGGACATATTAGTATTTTTGGATTATCTATCTAATTCTTCATCTGAGTGACTGTCTTCCATAGCTGAATAAACATAACTAAACTACAAATTGGGGCCCAAACGCCAAAATTTCAAAGGTGACTTCCATGCTTAAAGAAATTTATTATTTAAATATTAATTAAATAATACATAATTAAAAAGTAACTACTGACAGCGAATATGCGGTTTATGGTGGCCGTCAACAATAAGCCATATTGTTTTTTTGGAGAGAAGTATATATTCGTATAAAAATTATTTTGTCGAAACATATCGAATTAGTTAGGCTCATGTTTTTGAACCATTAAAATAAATTGTTGTTATTAAAAATTATTGTATCATTTATGACAAAAAGCGTTTCTTTCTTTAGTAGATTCATTTGCATTGAATTATTTAAAATACGTTTTGTTTAAAAACATTCTATGTAGAAACTGCTTCCACAAAGTCTTGCGGTGAAACAAAGACCAAGACTGGACTCTGCAAGACCAAGGCCAAGCTTATCTACTTATTAGACTGAAAGAGCAAGACCCAAGGGAGTCTCGGTCTTGCATTTGCTTATCACTATGCAAAAATATATTTTTGAAACTTCTTTCTAAAATGCAAATAACACTTTAATTCAAGGCCTAGTACAATATCGTTACATATTATAAAAACATAATGCATAAAACCAATTTTAAAGTAAAGAAGAAATAATTCAAATTAATTATCTTAAACAAATGCAACAAACTCGAATTTAGTAAAACAAAAGCCAAATACTCAAAAATTAAATTTCTTAATATTTTTAAATGTGAAAATATACCAATACTGTTGACAATTATCTATGTTAAGTGTATAATAACTGTTGTTTTAGAATCTTGACCTTTACATTTACAAGAACAGTATTAAGATGACCGATATCGGTCTGACAGCCCGAATTGGAGAAACCCCGACCAAATTCGAGATTTGGTTTCGAAAACGGAAACCAAACGACACGTTCACTCTTCAATCTATGTCCGAAGACGTGAAGAAAGCCTGGACAGAAGAATTGTCTCAATTACTTTGGAAGCAAGCCATAAAAAATAGAGGTACGTGGATATATTTCAATTAAGAGTATATTTTCATGAATTTCACTAATCCGTTATATTATTTTTAGCTGTTAGAATGGCAGAAATGTCTTCGATGGGAATAGGAAACAAGCCTTGTCTAGATATACGCCCTAGTGCTGACCAAATCAATGACAGATCAATAAGTTTTGCTCAGCTTAGCAAAAGTAAGTGAAACTAATTTTGAATAACAATGAGTAATTATTAAATTGTAGCTTTAGATTATTTTTCTTTCTATTAACATTTATTTGACGAATCTCATAATTTAATTTTTATAATGATTATCAAAATTGTTAGGTCGTGTTTCCCTCTTCTAGGATTTTCAGTATATTTAACTCAAATTTATGATATGAATCACATTAGTATGTTATTACGGACTAGCTTTTTGCTTAAATACTGCTAGCAATGTGTGAATTTCTTTCAACATAAATTAATTAAAATTATTGATACAGAAACATAATATATTAAATATTATACAGAACATCAAACAATTGTGTACCAAATTTCAGTTGGTGATTCTACAGATAAAAATAAAACAAAAATTTCCTATGATTATATGACATAAAATACTTCTTGGGGAAGTTACAACCCCTCGTAATATTTACAGCCCTTGATAGTATTTACTTTTTTACACTTGAAACAACGTGATCATTGATTTATCATACCTAGTATGTAACAAAACTCTTAATCAGGGTTGGGAAAAAATCATGATTTTTTGTAAAAAATAAAAAAAAATTTGATTTAAATCAAATTGTTATGATTTAAATCAGATTTTTTTTTATCTAAATCAGATTTTTTTTATTTAAATCAGATTTTTTTGATTTTAATTCAAAACAATATTTAAATCGGATTTCCAAATGACTAGGACTTATTTCCAATTAAAGTCCTATCCTAAATGGCTAAATATATACCCCGATACATAACATTAACAATTCTACGAGGTGTGTGATTTTTCTACATCGGTTACCAATACATTCCGCAAAAAAAGTCGTTCGCTTCAGATCAAAATGTTTTTTTTAAACGTCAAAAGTATTAATTTTTGTCATTTTAACACCTAGGCATAAAAGTAAAGGCACTGTTACGCCTAAGCACAAAAGTACAAAAATATTATATTATTAAACTGATATTAAGTGTCAAATTCAACGAGTGTACAAATTGTTGCTCGATTACTGTTAATATTATTTGCAATGTTTGAAATTGATTAAAAAATTATTTGTAATGTTAAAAAAATAGTATGTTCTATTCGGAGTAAAAATGTACTTTTGTGCCTCCCTGTAAACTGTAACGTCGGAATAGCTTTACGATGGTCCTTCAAAGGTACAACATTGTCAAAAAAAGTATAATTTTTACTGCTAATAAAACAATACACTATTTTCTTATTACGAAATATTCTTAAGTCGAGAATGAAATTAGTAGGTATTATCTAATGTCAAAGTGTAAAGTACTTACTGCAGATCAAAATGTCGGTAGGAATTTGGAAACACAACCGTTTCAAAAAAAAAATATAAATCAACATTTTTTCTGACAACGATTATAGATTCTCGGGAATGAGGATATAGTCTCTATATTAGAAGAACCCAGTTCTACACTAGACTTTACGAATGATATGCATTCGAACAGTAAATATTTGTTACATATACATATATTTTAAAATAAATCCTTGCGTTTAGCGGTCTAATGGATTCACACGAAATTAGTTCAAAAATCGGTCTAACAATTAAATTGATGAATAGATATTTTTATGTAGTTTTATAACGTTTACAATTATTTTTGGATTTATTTTCTGTTATATCTGTTATAGAAATATGTTTTATAGTTTTCTAGGACACATTAACACACAGTTATTTTTTGATTTATTATAAAGTTTCAATAAATATTTTTTTTTATTTAAATCACATGATTAAAATTAAAAAAATCACTTAATTTAAATCACGATTTAAATCATGATTTAAATGATTTGATTTAAATCATGCCAACCCTGCTCTTAATTGTTTTAATACACACCATTCAAACTTCTGCTAATTACCTATCAAACATTTCTTTCACTAATACTAAAATCGACGAATCTCAACATCTAAAGGCAAATATCTGAAAAACGTTCCCCGTTTTGAACTGAAAGACGAGCACCTTTTTGCGTAAATAGTCTTGCAGAATGTTTAGGAGGGGGGTTAATCACTACGAACTTTGTGTATATAACTCATCATACCGTCTCAGGGCTTTCACAAAAGTTAGTATCTGAGACGGTTCCACGGAGGCCTGCACTCAATCTCCGACATCATCCTTACCAAAGTTTATGGCACGAATGGCTGTCGTCTCGGCGCACTCAGTGATGAGGTGTTCTGGTGTTTCTCCATTTTCTTCACAGAATCTGTATTCGCCGTTGTTTCTCAGCTTCAATGTACTGAGGTGTTCGTTTAGGAGATTGCCCTGTTAGACACCCCGTGACAATCCGAAGATTGTTCTTACATAAATCAAGGAAAATCTTTAATTTCTCTCGGTCGCAAGTGCTGAGAAATATTTTTGAGTGTCTTCGACCGTTGGAGGATTCCAAGAGGATTCCCATTCTAGCTTACGGATGTAGTCTTCCAGGTTCTTGAGTTTCGCTTTAAGTTGGTTTCCACTTGAAAAGCAGAACGGTTTTGGTCCAGTTAGTGGCACTAGTGTTCGCTCCTTTTCTAGCTAGATCGTTTGCTTTTTCATTGCACTCTATCCCTTGGTGAACGGGCACCCAGTAGGAGAACTTATGTTCTTTGTCTAATTTGTTTAGCTTCTCTAGGCATTCTTTGACCAACTTCGAATTGATGGTTACTGAGTTGATCGTTTTTAGTGCTTCTTGACTATCAGATAAGATGGCTATTTCCTCTTTTCGATAGTTCCTATCTAAGATAAATTGTACGCATCTTTGATAGCGTAGATTCCTGCTTGAAGGATGCTTGGGTAGGTGCCCATTCGTTCGGAGTATTTAATTTTCGGCCTAAACCCTATTCCTGTCCCTGCTTTGGTTTTAGAAGCATCAGTATACCATGTTATATTCGTCTTCTACATGCTAGACAAACGTTTCTCTCTTCCAATCCTTTTTATTGCTCAATACTACATTGAGGTGTTTTTCAAAGTTGTACATTCTTGTGGTATATGAGTGGAATTATAATGACATAAAAAGGTCTTCCGATTTTATGTCATTTGTTGACATTACTGTATTCATAAGGATATAAAAAGTACCACCAGTAGGGACTTTTACACTATCGCCATTCGCTTTTGCATTAAAATGTGTGTAAATCGAAAAAAAAGTATATAGTAATATCTGACCTATATTGATATAAGAAATAAATATAATTGTACATAAGGAATCTCCCCACGAGAGATGGCACATGTTTTTTCAAAACCCTGTATATCAATAGAAAAAAATCTATAAGTCTATAGTTTAAATAATAGTCTTTAAATTTCAAATGTTTGCCATTGAAAAAGTTTTGGCAAAATAACCTTTCTAATTTAATAAAATATCTACTATATACCACTCGTATATACATTATATAAAAATAACTACATAGTATCGTCGTTAATAAGTTTTTCTTTAATAAAAAAGTGACAACATGGTCTTTTTCTTTACATCAACTTTGCATATCTTAGTTACCTTTGTTTTGAAGAGTAACAGTTGTATATCTATATTGTTTGTCCTGTATAACACTATTATCTATTCATAATTTTCTTACATTATTCCAGAATTTAATATTCTATTAGGAATAAGTCATTTTTAAGCTTACATTGTAGACAGCCAGTTTTATATTCTCCTGACTTTAATTTATAATTTTTAACTTTATCACTTCTTTGTTTTAACTTTGCTGATTTTTTAACTTGAATTTTTGTTTAATAAACATCTAACATTTATTTGCGTTTGCTTACGTATAACCTCAAACCTATTATTAACATTTCCTTTACTATTTTTGTTTTTTTTCTTCCCTTTGATCTATAGCAGCACCAAGATTTCGCAACTCCATTGCAGGTTCCACTCCAGAATCCTGCAGAAACGTCAAGCGTCCTCACTCGGTCATATCCATGTCCAGCGTGTCGTCCAGTAGCACTAGTTCTGGCGGTTCGGGTGGCAATTCAGCTAACCAAACGAATTCCAGTATGGGATTTGATTCAAATTACGAAAGTCCCAAGTCGTACCATCGTTCGGCAACGCTTAACAGTCAATGCTCAGTGGGTAAGTGGTACCTGAAATTACTATTAAATTAAAAATATATTTACTAAAGTCTGTCTCTCGAACGGAGGCTGTCCTGTATATTGAACAGGCAAGATGAAGTTCCTGTCGTTTTTGGATGGTGTCTTACCTAACTCGCTTCCTAGAAGCTGGGAAGACGTCACTTTAATTTTTAGAAGTATTGTTAGTTATATTTCTATAATATTAAGTATAGTATTTTTTACTGATATCCGCAAGTTGTCTACAGACTGTACTAGTATTAGAAGATTCTAAAGAACAAAACTATCTAGATATGAGCTTTTTTACTTACCGATGTTTCACAATGACCCCTGCACACTACATTTTATACTAAAATATTTGCGGCTTTTCCGAAAGTAGCAAAATTTGACAGCAATTTTCTTATTTTAAATGAATACCTTCATTTTTTCTTATAAATGTATCTAAATACCCTGTAAAATTTCATAAATTTTGATTTCGAATAGCCTACATCTAAAATCAGCAGTTTTTAGAAAAAACAAATTTACGCCTAAATACTGCCTGAGAAAGAAAAGTAGTATGTTAAAAAGAACGCGTGTGGGTATTTATTCTAAGAACAATTTTTTTTGAAAAATCTCATTGGATCTAGCTGTCTTTGAACTTTTTGATCATAACTCATTCTTTTCAAATGGAAACCCACTTTCTTATCTCGTTAACAAAAAGGTTCTTTATTCTCTCTTTTTTGATATATCATGTTCCAGTAGTTCAAATAATCCATTTTCAAGATATTTAGAATTAAATTTTAAAGATTTTTTTCTTTGTATCTTCTTTAGTAGTCCATGATTTTAACTGCTAAACAACGTAAAACAATATATCTGGTTATATGAAATTATGAAATATTTTTACTACGAAGGAAACAAGTTTAGATTGGAATGCTCGGCAATTCTAATTGTTTTGGGGTGCATACGTTGTACGGGATCTGGCGCTGCTATAGCGGTTGCTAAGAACAACCGTAAACAAGAACAGAAACATAGATAAAAGAAAATAGCCTTAACAGAAATAATATTCTCTTGTCAAAGTCAGAATCTTCACCAATTATAAAATCTGATAAAAAAAAATAAAATTAAAAAAATACAAAATAAAATACGAAATATATAAAAAAAATTGTCCTCATTGAAAAAATACCGAAACGTGTTTAAAGCGTCCATTTTCAAAGTAATTATTGCTATCTTGTGAGTTTAATTTAAATTTTATTTACTCAAACCCCTGATAATTGTGAAAAACTGGCATTGAAATCTTAAAAATCTGTGTGAACTACAAAAACCATCTTGGATCGTGGCATAACGTCGGTGTCCAATATTTCATAGGTATTTCATACATGTCCTTATATAAAATAAAATTTTTTATATGCAACATATTGTATTTTATTTAAAGAATTAAAAGAAAATAATAAATTTAAATAAATAATATTTGGCGACATAATTCCCGAAAAAGCCGAACCACTCCGAAATTATCAAAAGCTTTGGAGAGCGACCGTTGTAAGAATTGCGCCAAATAGTATTTACATTTCCTTATGGGCACTTTCCAATCTAAACTTGTTTCATTTATCTATGTTATCTACTTATTTTAAAAAATCAGGTCAGGTGAAAATTGTATTAAAAATATATCTAAAATATTGTCCTAATTTATTACTTATCTGTTGAAGATGCATTCGTTTGAAACATATACTATAAAATAAACTGGATAGTAAAAATAGTAAAAAATAAAATCAAAAATTAACTTCAGCACTTCCGGTCTTTCGAATATACAGAAACGCTTCGATCTAGACACTTTAGCTAGAAATTTCTAATTCAAACTCAACCAGAGAGACTTTATATTAATACCGTATCATCGAAAAACAAACGGCGTCAAAGACGACTGGGAATGACAATCGATGATAGTTTTGGCGAGGTCAATCTCTATACATATCTCTAGATGTCAATTACTAAAAATTTACATACAACTAGTCAAAAATTAACACTGAATTATAGGAAGATTAAAAAAGGATAGAACGTTTCCAGACACTGAAAACTATTTCCAAAAAATATGTTTACTCAATATGAAAATAAATTACAACCTTCTTAGGATCAACTGGCAATTAAATAAAGACGAGAACGGGTCAAGTAATAACGACTAGGGCTTGACGTCGCTAATATTATTATCGATTGTCTTTCTCCAGCCGTCTTTGCCGTCGTTTTTTTGAAAGATACAAAATAATCATTAATTACCACGTATTTTTTTATTTACAGAAAGTGGTATAATAGCTGATGTCTCAGTAGCTTCAGATGACCTATCTGAACAGAACCAACACCAAAATTAGAGAACAGAACCTGCAAAACGAACCTATTCAAAGTTTTGGCTGTTTTAAGTCAATCCACACAATGTGCCAGATGTCTTTTTGTTTAGCTTTAAGTTTTTTTGTTGTATTTCTAAGCAGAATTTTTGTTTGTTTTTTTTTATTATCATGTACCAACTCCTTTTTCTTTTTATTTGAAAATCTCTGTAAATACCGAAATAATTATATATATTTTATATTTATTATTTTTCCTGAAAGTATTTTTTATATATTTCATTATTTCTTTAAATCAGTAAAGAAAACAAAACTACATTTTTATATCTACCAATTTAGATATACTTCTCTAGCTTTTAGTCGTTTTCTAAGTACCTAAATCTTAATATATATTTTATATAAACCTATATAATATTTACCAATATTTCGGCTGTATGCGTTTTTATTATTATTTTTGTTTTGTTATATATACTACGCGCTCGTGTAAAAGTAATATAATATACATAAATATAACACCAAAAAAAAAAGTTGGGTTTTTATAATGTAATGCAACTTATTGTTTAAATAAATAATAATGCATGGTAGTTATAATATAACTTTCTAGATATTTTTCTTTATACTTTTTGTCTGGGTTAAATATATTTTTATTTAATTTTAAACTGAATGTTTATTTTGTTAAAATAAAATAATTGTAATAAATTTTCTCAAACTAACTAAATTTGTAAAATGCAGTTTTTTATAGTACACATTAGTCGTAATATATAAATATGTAAAAAACTAACGTTGTCTTTTATTTTAAACTGCCTTATAATGTTCTAAATCTAAAAATAGACTTATGTAGTTTAATACCTACCTGCTATTTAATAGTAGATATTATACCAGAGGTTACAATGAGAGTCGGAAATCCAGAAATGTTACAAAACCAAGCTCTGAAAGCAAAGAATATAAAGCTGTGAGTTAAAAGTCGATTAAAAATAAAACATAGTAATTTATATCCACTTATCTTGTTTTGTTATTGATTATTTTTAATTATATTTATTTATATCCACTTATCATCACTTAAAATTGTAAGAAACAACAGAAGCACCAAAATCAACATATATGGCTTTTTGCTTAACTACAAAAAACCAACTGTCTAACCACTACTGGGTAACTGACTATCAGTCGAAACGAAGTTGTATTAATGAGTTTTGATTGCTTTGAATGACTAGCTTTTAAAATTAAATGTCTCACGTCAAATTTTCAGTCTGCTGAATATCGATATGCTCTGATAATAATTTCCGATAGTAATTTTAACATTCACTGATTTCCGCTTTTTAGTGTAACATACACAAGATTAAAATCGGACTACACCCGGTGTTTCTCAAAAGTGGCTCATACCCCCATAACTTTTTTTATTTTTTCAGATAAAAACAACAAAATGGTAAATGGTATGTTAGTATATGACATAAATCAGGATTGAATGACGTATTCAATTGTTTTCGGTCACTTTCTGTCTCACCGGAAATGACTACAATTTTTTGAATAGAATGACATATTATATGTCAACTTTTGACATTTTCGCATATGGTTTATTTGAAATTGTGACATGCGATTCATAATAGTCTAAGATCCGGCTGCAAGATTATTAAAAACAAAGAAAAATGATTTTATATTTTAGAAAGTTTGGCATATAATTTTAAACACCCTGTATGCTTTAAGATTACTGTAATTATAGCAAAGTAAGAACAGACCAACTATGGTAAATACCTAGAATAGTTTTGATTTCCGAACAATAAATTCATGTGTGTGTATTTTTAATAATTAAAAAAAGGCTGAAAGGCTGTTAAACCCGTATACTAATATAAACTAAATCTCTAAATAAAACTAAACTAAATTTCGTTTTTTATCTGAAAAAATAAAAAAATTACCGGGGGTGAGTCATTTTTGAGAATCATCCGGTATAGTCTGACCAAAAAGTAAGGAAAATTTTTTTCAGACGACATTAAAAAAAACACAGAAAATACAATTTACCTGAATTAGAATGACAGATGCAACTGTCACTGTGATGCAACTGTCACTGTGCTGAGTATAGGTGGTTATATACAACCTTATACAACCCTCAGACCTACCACCCTTCTGGGGAAGAGGAGTAGTAAACTACTCCTAGCCGGCCGAGAACGTAGCACAAGGGAACTATTGCAGTCCTTAACTATTGCAGTCCTTAACTTGAATGTTGCAGTCCTCACTGTACCATAGCCATCCCGTGCTACAGTTGCAGCCAAACTGTGCGGCAGCGTAACCGTCACAGTTTAACCTTTTACGCAGCTAACACTCATCAAAGATGGAACATTCGAGTAGGACAAAATCAACGTCCGGAGGTAAAATACCTCCGGATCTCCGGGAGGGGGTGCCTACTCGAGGGTATCATTGAAGATCTAAGCATCGTCAATGTTTCACGTTTGCGGCGTGGAAAATGTTTCACGTTTGCGGCGTGGAACGTCCGCACTCTACTGGACAGGACAAACTCCAATCAACCAGAGAGAAGAACAGCACTGGTCTCACAGGAACTCCATCGATTAAATATAGATGTTGCCGCTCTTAGCGAAACCCGCTTTGCGGATGAAGGTAGTCTCACTGAGGAGCATTACACCTCCTTTTGGAAGGGTCGCCCGGCAACACACAGGAGAATTCATGGCGTAGGCATTGCAATCAAAAACGAAATCGTCACCAAATTAACAGAGGTACCTATTGGTATCTCCGAACGTCTTGTGACCCTAAGGTACCCCATATCAGACAAAACTTACGTCAACATTATAAGTGCCTACGCTCCTACCCTAGACGCTAAAATTGAGGATAAGGATAAATTTTACCAAGCTCTGCAAAATACACTCCAACAAATTCCAAAGCACGAACGAATCATTTTGCTAGGTGACTTGTTACGGTTATATATTTTAAAGGGGAGTTAATTTTCTTATATTTATTTTAATCATACATCTTGACAAAATGGTGAATGTGGTGATTTATTATTTTTATTTATAACCTTGAAGATGACACGTTAATAAAATATAACAATACATTTCTTAATACATATTAATTATTTATTTATTTTCTATTTACAAGTAAAGTAAATGTGCGTTAACTTTAAATCATAATTTAACTTCATATTGTTGTATTTTTAGCCAAATGTAATATTTTTAAATAATATCTTTGACTCGATCTTGAGGTATTATTCTTCAGGTTATGGAAGGGTAAATGCATCCTGCAAAGACTTCTTATTTGTCTAAAATAACGTTAATTAAAGTAATATTAATAATAACCACTTCATATACTTACTTTTGGTATTTGTTTACTTCTGTTCAGGTGGAAATATTCATTGCGTTTTGTTAGCTGTTATAATATATTATATTAATTATATTATAAGAAACGATGTTCATACCTTTTAATAACAATAATACCTTCAATAATTATTAAGAGATCATATCAAGATTTGAGAATAGAAATAAAAAATATATGGCAAATGGAATCGGTCCAGGTAGTCCCCTTGATTGTCTCAGCCATTGGAATTATCCCGGTCAACCTGAAGGAACAATTAAAATTAATTGGAATACCTGAAAATACTTACCGCCTAATGCAGAAAACTGTGCTGCTTAAGCTGCTAACATTGTTCGTTCCTTTCTAGGTGATTAACAATAGCACCTTATAGATAAGGCAGCTTTAAACCTGTTCTGAGCAGTGAAAAAAAATAATAAATAATCTGATTGTGATTTTTGTTAAGATTGATTAATTTGTGGTTAGAGCAAACGTCAAATCGTCAACGCGTCTAACGGTGTTGCCAGCTTCTTGAAGTTTTCTTAAATCCTATTTCACCTCATTCATATTTAGTCTCTAAATAATTAATTTTAGCATTTAACTTATTTTAATACTTTTATTTATTAATGATCTTAAACCATTATCAAGTGTATCTAATTGTAATTATTGTTTGATTTATTATTAATTTTCTTTTATTATCGGATTAATCGATCCTGGCAACATTGGTACTTAACTGGTTGCGGAAGTATGTCTGGTGATTTCCTTCCTTTTTCTTTTCGGCACTCTGGCAGTGAAGTCACGTATTGAGTTGAAAAATCCTTTCATTTGATTTTGGGAAAGGTTAATAATTATCTACGGTTAATTGATATTAATTATATCATACAGCTACGGCTGGATTGAGACAAAACTAATAGCGTTGCTGCTTTTGTATTATTTCCAAGGAAATCGCCCACAGTTTGGGTAAGTTAATTTTGGGTTATTAATTATTACGTGGGACAAATTATTATTGGGTTAATTTTAAATTAGGCACCTTGGTTTGGGTTTCCTTTTACACAGCGACTTGGTTCCACGAGGGTTTTCACGACGTTCAAACCAACTGATAAGCTAAGGGGAAGCCACGTGCTTGGGCCTTTTGTTTGTGCGGCAGATCCTAGCGTATGGGATTTTTGGGACCCTTACGAATAAAAGCTAAGTACCAAACTCTTTATTAGCTCCCTCTCGTTCCTGCGTACTTAATAAACCTTGTACCTATTTTTTTGTTGCGTCTGATTAGTTTTAATTAAATATCATTTATTTAGTAATTATAAGTATCATTTATATCGTGGGTACCCCGTTTTTCTTTCGTATTAAATTTAGAGTAGGTAATCTTTTAGTCTAGGTTACACTAACTGGTAACCAGTATTACCAATTGTTGCAAATATTTAATTTATAATACAGTCATTTTAATTTCCCTATGTTATTGTAATAATTATATAAACCATTTTAAATTGTATTGTTTCAAATGATGAGCTACCCTACTCTGAATAAACGTCTGTCTTGTTAATCTGTGTTTTATTGTGTGATTACATTGAACTAAAATTTTGTGTTTTATATAGGTACAATTTGAACCCATCTCCCAAACGGTAAGGTAGCAGACTTTAATGCCAGTGTCGGCAAACAACAAGAAATATGGCCTGACGTATTGGGAAAACATGGAATGGGAAACGTAAATACGAGGCATGTTTTTTAAGTAAGTACCGTTTTGCGATTCCGCCGCCGCAGCGCTACGGTCGGCGTTCCGCGCATGCGCGCTGTTT